AGTTATTCCTGGTGAACTTTGAAGTCAAGGGCTTTCAACTGCTTTCAGCCCAATAGAAGTAAGAATTTCCATCTTGATATCTCAAATAACTGATGTCAAATAATCTGAGGTCATGTAAAAGATTCCAAACTTTGGTATTTCATAAATTAGCAAGTCAGTTATATAGATAGATATCCTCTTCTAATCCAGCTGAATAACAAGTAGCATAATTTACTCCCTATCTGTTACCACCTGCTTCCGAAGCTTGTCATTTGCCAAGTTTGACTAGGAGAGATCCCAGTTTTAGGACTCCATGCAGGACAGTGCAGCTGTTCTCAGCTTTGCCACTCTCTTCCAGCCCCATCACTCACAGACATGAAGATGCATTCCTTCCACATGTGGATATAGCACCAAGTTTCCTCAGGATGTTTCCAACTGCTCTTGCCCTCATACACTCCAGGACATGAGACTGGCAGGAGACAACTCAGTAGAAAGAAGAAGCAGTTGAATCTCTGAGCTTGATGAGATTACTTTTAACAGCTAAGCTCTTTTTCCCCGAGGAAGACAAGATGGGTCTTTTCAAGGACTCTTGGTGGAGTCCTATGGGATAAGGCCCTTGAAGGAAAAGGGAGCCCAAGGTTAATATTCAAGGATCACCTCCTCCAAGCTCAGCAGCTGTCCATCCCAATGAGTAGGAAGTCAAGACCTCTGTGGATGAACAAGGAGCTCCTAGCCAAACTCAAACACAAAAAGAAAGCATAGTAAATGTGGAATCAAGGACAGATAACCTGTGAGGAATACAGAGACATTGTTCAAGCATGCAGGTCAGGAAAGTTAAAGAGCAGCTAGAACTGAAGCCGGTGAGGGATGTCAAAGACAACCAGAAGTGCTTCTGTAATATGTAAGTGACAAAAGAAAGATTAGGGAAAATGTGAGCCCAGTGCTCCCTCCCTCCTACTGTACTGCATCTCACTCCATCGTCTTAGACTAGACACAGTAAACAGAACAAGCTCTGTGTAAATAAAGCACCCCTTACTACTTTACCCTACTCTTCTCTGAGTAGGGTAAGGATTTCCTCACATAATGTTTAAGGAGTTATGGAAAAGACAAAGGCACATATGCAAAGGAAACAAGCGGGCTTTTTTTTCTTTTTTTTGGCAACACCTATGAGCTGGTTTGGCTTGCAAACTGAAGAAGCTCAGCAATGTAGCTGCAGGGAAATTGAAATCATCTTCTGTAATACTATGGGCAAATTACCTTTGTCCTGGGGCTGATTTACCTTTTGTAACCCTGGCTAGAGCCAAGAATACACATTAGCCTCTTACAAGCTTCCTTCTGCATCTCTCTGCACCTTACAATGTTGTATCTTTGCATTTAGCCATTTCACATGGTAACATTTTACTGAGAATCTCTTCTGATATCCACCTTTTGTCACATCATCACTTTTAGTTACCCTTCCAACTTAAAAAAAGCCTTGGAACTACAACACCCTTCTCCTGAGGCAGCCAATTCAGTAAACAGTACAGATACAAAGACTAAACATATAGTGTGTGTATAGATGCACGCATATGTTCTATTACCATTTTTAAATGCTAAATTTTGTGGATTTTCACTCCATAATAAAAAAGGCTTTCAACCAGAGGCACTCACAATCAAATCAGACAGAAAAAAACCACAAGAACTTAAACAAAGACTCTTATCCTGTGTTTTTACAAAACATTTAACCTTTTACTTAGACTAGTGCTGTAGCCTCACAAAGAAAGCAAGTGTTCAGGATGGAATGGAGAAAGGCTGCTTCCCTTCTGCACAAGGATCGAGAAGGAATTCCAAGCATGAAGATAAAAATCAAAAGAAAATGAAAAAGTTAGACAAAGTAGAAAGCCAGAATTTATTATGTGTTTCAGTGAACTTTCTCTGATTTCCTATACTGTACCTTAACTGCAACAATGTTTATTTGCTAAAATAGATAGTCCAAGCCTCTAATCTATGAACTTTCACAACTAAAATTTGCAAACTACAGGGCCCAAAATAAAACACGTATTAATGTTCTTAAATTGCAAGTGAACCCACTGAAACTACTGCATCCATATGCAGATCTTGAACATGATCATGTATTTTAAATTGACCATTTAGTTGTCACTGACTCAAAATGACCTAAGTGCCATCAAGTTACTGGCCTCTGGCAGCATGCACACAATAAATCTGCTCATGGACTGACAGCATTGTTAGCTGAGGCCTCAGAAACACGAAATCTGGATCCTCAACAGATGTATTTCCATATTTATCTCATCAAGCAGTTCATCTCACTGGCAGACTGAGGACAGTCTCTTTTAAGAGATAGGTTGTTGAAATGCTCCTGCCAGGATATGAAAGACCACGGTAAACAACTAATGCCCATGGCAAATTTAGCCTGAAAACGAGGTATTCTCTTCTGAAATACATTTGGCACTAACATGCCAAAAATTTCCCATCATCCAACTGCATGCCCTGAACCATGATAACCAGGAGACTGAGATGCCTCAGATACTACATGACACTTAGGCTGATATAAAAGAAAACAAATATACTGGCTCCCTCACAGCATTTCATGCCAGTCTATGATTTACATAGGCTGATCTGGCACAGGTTTATGTTCCTATAAGGGCTTTATCTAGTTTTAACTATGAAACTTAACCTCCTCTCAGCTATAAAAAGAGAACAATGACATTAAATGTAACATTACAGAAGGACTGTCAGTTATGACAATTAATTAAAAAAATATATTCAGAATAGGGAGTTTATTCTGCTTTATTGAGGTAGAACTTTGTTTTAAAACAACAAAAATTTTATCTAAACAGAAAGACCTGGTGCAAAAATGTAACTGCCAAGAATAATGATTAACAAATAGAAAACAGTAGTTAAGAATTATTGAAAGGTTGGGTTTACACACATGTACTCATATTGTACAGCATGAGTACAACTAGCTAAAGTTACCAACATTTAAATACAACTTTAAAAGTTAGACGCACATTAAAAACCTCTGTCAGAAATTCTGAACAAGCTATTCATAATTTTATTTATCTATGTCCTTCTAGTGGCAGAACATAAAATCAGATTCTCAAAAAATTATTTTTGTTATCTTCTACAATTCCCAAATACAGTGGCCCATACTAACCAAATTATACAAATATTATTTTAAAATATCTGATAATTAACATTAGTAGTATATCAAACATCTGTTCCATAGCTATTATCCCCTGCAGTCAAAATTCAAGGCTTTGCAATTTGCCTGGTGAAGAAGTAACATGCCCCAGAATATTTTCCTGTATTTAGAACTAATCCAAATTTACAGGCTGTTTTTACCACATTAGTATGTAATATTCTAAAGCAAGCTCTACGAAAAAATAATTAAAAATGTGAAGCTTAACAGAAAATTAGATGAAGCCTAATGCTGGCTTCCCAAAGAACAATCCTACCAAACTTATTTGATATAAGATCAGTGATTTTTCTAGGAAAAGCAGAAATGCATTAAATCACACCTACCTGGACACAGTTAAACACTTACTGACATTTATATTTATCTTATGGAAGATAAGTAGAGGCCAGAGAAAAATTTACAGTGAACTCCCTTGTGATCAGTTTTTATTTAACATTTAAATAGATGACTTTGACACAACAAGTAGCAAGACACTTTTGGTACAAAATCAGAAAACACAGCATATGGAAGGAAAACAGGGAAGAATTACATTACAAAACCAGTGTGAGACTGAGGACTATGGAGTGCAAAATTATTGGAATATATAAAATTTTCTTGAGGAAGGATGTTCTTTAATGTTTGATCTTTGTATAGTTTCAAGCCTAACCAACAAGAAGTGAGATTTAATCCATGAAACAGAGAGCAGCTAACAAGCTCTAAGTGATGTTCATGTATTAGAAAAACAAATTACTTGTTGGTAAATTGCCTTGTTAAGATTTAGGGCTTGACATGCTTCAATGTTCTCGGACCTAGAGGGGAGTTACCAAAACTTGGGAAGAAGGATATACCAATATACTGATAGTGGACACAGAGAATACAGGATTTACGGGCCACAAGGACATTTGACAGAATCCTCAAGGAAGAAAGTAGTAAAGCCAACTCAGCAATTGTGCTGAAATCAGCTCCGACTGGGTGAAAGGTAATTCCAGCAGGAGATCATGACCACCAACTCATGGGCCACTGACCCAAGAAACCCACTGACTCAGAAGAGAAAGCCTGAGCATGGGACTAATTAGCATGAGAAACGAGAGAATCATTAACCAACAGACGACAGAATACTAATTAATAGGAGTACTATGTAACTTGCAGCCAATGAACACTAATTCCTTTGTTTGCTCAAGTGTATGAATAGCAAAAGGTTTTGTTAGTTGGTGTACTTGATTCGTGGAATACCACCAAACACCCAGGCATGTGCAACTCTGAATTAAATAATCAGTGTCTCTCTCGAGTGTGTAATTACTGGCTTATTGCACAACAAGTAACAAATCTGATTTTTGTGGACAACAACGTCCTGTACTTACAAACACACAAGTCAAGAAGATATCTCAGAAACCCACGGCAGATGGAAATCAGGCAGGGGGTGTATTTAAACCTGACAGGATCATCAGAAAGCATCAGGCAAAGGACATAACCCACTGAAATGAACTGTATATTTTATTATTTAATTATTTGATAAAACCTTTCTAAATCAATGGTCTGTACCAGAAGCAGTGCATTACTTATGTCAAGAAAAAGGTGTATGTGACAGCCCTTTCTCAAAACAAACAAACAAACAAACAAAACAAACGGAGGATGATGGAAGATATTTTAGGAATCTCCATTTTCCAGTACCACTTCTGAGATTCAAGAAAAACCTGCACAGCATTTGGGAGAGCCAAACAGTAATTTTTTATTTATTTTTTTTTTTTTAAATATTCAGCGCAGGGTCAGAGCTGTGTACCGCCGAAGCAGCGCAGGCCCTGGCACAGCCCGCCCAGGGGCGCTGTACCGGCGAGGCGGGGCCGCTCCCGCTCTAAGATGGCGGCACCGGCACCACGTGGTGCGCGCTGAGGCGCGGGCGGGGCTCGGGCGGGCGCTGGTGATATGGCGGCGGCGGCGGGCACGGGGAGCGAGGGCGAGAGGAGCGATGAAGCGGAGGAAGACGAGGTGGAGGTTGGTGCACGCCGACATCCCCCCAGCCTTAGGGGAAGGGGCCGGCCCCCCGCGGGGCGTGTCTCGCCCGTGGCCCCCGCCTGGCCCTTCCCGGCCCGCCCCCTCTCCGCCCGCTCGGCAGGGCAGGCAATAATGGGGCCCGGTGTGGCTGTGCCCGGGCTGGCGGCGGGGCTGGGCACAGAGCGAGCGCTTTTCCCTGGGTCCGGCGGGTTTTTCTGCCCCTGCAGCGGTGCTGTCGCCAGAGGTGCGTGGTTCCGGCGGTTCTGCTGCAGATTTTCTGGAAAAGGGCGCTGTCAGAAAGAGATCTTCCAGTTTCACTTGCTTCCTGACCTCATAAAATCATAGAACGGTTTGGGTTGGAAGGGACCTTTCAGATCATCCAGTTCCAACCCCCCACGACGTGCAGGGATGCCACCCCCTAGACCAGATTGCTCAGAACCCCATCCAACCTGGCCTTGAACGCTTCCGGGGATGGGGCATCCACAGCTGCACTGGGCAACATGTTCCAGTGCCTCATCGCCCTCGCAATAAAGAATTTCTTCCTAATATCTAATCTTTCAGTTTAAAGCCATTCACCCTTGTCCTATCATTACATGCCCTTGTAAAATGTCCCTCTCCAGCTTGTAGTTCCCTTTAGGTACTGGAAGTTGCTGTAAGGTGTGCCTAGAGCTTTCTGTTCCCCATGCAGAACAATCCCAACTCAGCCTTTTCTTGTAGGATAGGTATTCTAACCCTCTAATCATCTTGGTGGCCCTCTTCTGGACTCACTCCAACAAAATCCTAAAATACAAACTTTCTCTTCTATTATTATGTATATTTATGCATGTGTAGTAGATGGTGACTCTTAAAAGCTCTTGTTTTCCTTGAATATTTTTCAAGGCAGACTTTTTTTTGCTTTGTTTTTGCATTTTGCTTACTCAAAATTGTAAGGAATTGCATATAGGAATTAATTTCAGAACAATATGTTATAAAAAGTAACTATTTCAGTTAACACGTTGCTTAACCTCCCCTGTGATGTCATATTTAGGTATGCACTAAGGCTTTAGGGAAAAAAATTAGTTTGGAATATGCAACTGGTCATATTGTTATAATTCATAAATCACCATATTGATGCTCATTTTTCAAGGGTGGAGAAAAGAGCTCCATTCCTATCTAGGAAGAAAAGGCCAGGAAATTAATGTGTGAAACGGGTGTCTGATGGATCGCTGCATTTCCCTGGGTATTACAAGAGCTGTCTGTCTCTTGATGAAATGTCAAATAACTCCCATTTGGGGTCGGTTTATTCTGAAGGTCTGGGTCTTTGTATGCTGTTCTGTTTGGTTTGGGTTGTGTTTTGGGGGGCTTTTTTTTCTTTCCCCTGAATTCAGATATCTGTTACAGGTGTACATTATAAACTTATCTTGTAGGAGCAGCTGGTCATGGTGGAACTATCAGGAATTATTGATTCAGGCTTCTTAGAAAAATGTGAAAACAAATGCAAGATTTTGGTGAGTGATTACAGCACAATAGGAAAGGGGTAAGTCATTATAGATGTGAACAAGGGACTGACACTGCTTCTAAACTTCTTGACATTAATAACATTTATATCAAATCTTTGATAGAGAATTACGTGTGCTGTACTTGGCTGGATATTGTGGGCTCTATTTCAGAAACAGCATAAGGTTTTTGAATATAGTATTGTGTAAATATAAGGAAACTTTTTCAGAGGTATGTATAAGTTAGTACCAGTATCCGCTCCGATTTCAAGCTCTAAGTTATTTTTTAAAAATTATGTATTTCACATTAAAAATGTGATTTTCATTTAAAAATATACATTGCTAAGCACCCTTCTTCAAATAACTTAAATACATCTGACAGGTAGAGTCAAAATCTTTCTGATTTGCACTGTATTTACAATGTGTTTTTTTGCAGAGACTGCCTGGCAAGTTCAAGTTCTGTAAAGGATAACTGGTTATTAAGCATTTGGTAAACAATTTGGGATGTTGTTTGCTTCACTGTGAGGTTATTATAAGAATCTGGTTTACCTGTCCTTTTCCTTTTGAGTTGTTTAATCAGTTTCTCTGAATGGGACAGATGCTATTTGCCCTTCAAACCCTATGTAGACTATGAGAGCTGTCTAGATAGTACTAGTACTATTGATTTGCAAATACTTTCTGAAAGTAGACCTTTATTACAGACAGAAAAGATGGAAGAGAACATCTGAGTGTGCCACTGATCAGAATATATGTGGGGTGGTAAAGTCAGTTTTGAATGTCTCAAATGTAGAAACAATCAAAATTCATAAATGATCCATCTTTGGATGGATATGCTTTTATAAGCAGATTTACTTCCTGGATCTGCCCTAATTCTCTTGGAATGTATTACACACGTGATTCATTACTGGTGGCTGAAATGGCATATGCTTCAGTAGTGTTAATGGGATTCTTTTAAATGTTGTGCTTTGAGATTCTCATGTAGTTATCCTGTGTGATATCCTGTATTTTATGGAATTTACCATATAGTGCCTCATCTTCAAAACTTTTAGCATCTGCTTATCTTCATGTCCTGAATAATTCTGATGTTCACAAGGTACTTTTCAAAGCCATTTTGCCTTAATTAGTGTAGTCTGTTCAGACATTGGTTTTTATCAATCTATAATCTATAAGTATAAATCGTATTAAGAGATAATACATTATATTATCATATATATATATATAAGTATATATATGTATTTGGAAAGCCTGTGCTGTAGAGGAAGGGAATGAGCTGATAGAAGTACTGCCTTACCCTCCCACTCCTTGTTTAAAAAAATGCAATAACAGCACTTTCCAACTCCTTCATGATATAGACACAGAAATCAGAGAAGCTTCTGCAATGGTTTATGCTGGACTTCTTCACCTTGTGTATTTTCCAAAGGCTTTTGAAAATTTCTAGAACTTGCATTAATTGGAGCTTGGAAAATAACATCTTTTTCGTGCAAACATATACATTTTTGTTAATTTGAAATGGAGGTTACATTAATTTCCTAGAGGAAATAAACAGTAACTTAAATAAACTGTAACTTAAATAGACCATTGGCTGCAGTTTGATCTAAATTTATTTTAACATACTAGAGCATTTCCTATGACAGTTCTATACTAGGTTCTGCTACGATTACTAGAAGGGTATTATCTGGTATATTTTTGTATTTAATATAGTTAAAGTGACGTGTTTGATGATAGTCTGAAAAAATGTCATTACATTTTATTAACAGTGCACTGATTCTACAGTAAGATTGGCTGAACCCTTTGTAGCAGTTGTTATCACTGCTTAACTAAGCCTCCTACAAAAACAAAGAAAACTCCTTCTCCCCCCATCCCAGATGTTTAACATTGCAGAAGACCTCAGGGTCAATTGTAATGACTAAAACTACTTTTATTACATTTTTTTGAAAACTAATAAATATTAATCTAATTGCATGGTTTTTCGCAAGTCTGCTAGCTTCTGTAAAATCATATCCTCTGCAGAAATCTCTTGTCCACTTCCATAAATCCTGTTTTAAAGATGTACTTCTCTTCATATGAACCTGGCAGTTTGAGAAAGCTTTAGAGACTGGAATCCATTCCTTTCCTCTAATAACAAAAGAAACTTTTATCTTGCATTTACTTATTTTGTTCTTTTTACCTTATGGTTTGGAGTTTTGGTCCAATTGTCTTTACGAGGAATTGATGTAATCTGGATTCTGCTATGTCTGTCTTCTCTGATTGTATAGCGAGAAATTTGCCTGGGCTAATAGAGACTTGACAACTGTGCAATTTTGTCCCTCTTTTTGTAGGGAATAGAGACAGAGAAGCCCATTTTACAAGTGGACAGATATGTATTTGCAGGAGAATATGAAGGTAGGAAAAATTACGATGAATACAGTCTCTCCTTTTTCATGTGACCCAGAGAGCTTTCTTAACATTAGTTAATTATCCTGCAATTGGTCCTATGAGATGCTGAAGTTCTGGGTGGTTGTATAACACCATACAGAGCAGCAGCAGTCTGAGTTCACTGCTAAATTAACCGTGCATCTGTGGTACTTCCTGGGAAGCAGGCCTGGAAGCTGACTCCAGGGTGCACCAGCTAGTATGTCAGCAGACAGACATACGGGACATAAAACACCTTAAAGTAAGTGCCTGTTGTCTTCTGTGTAAGCAGGACTGACGTGTTGTACAATCTGTAGTTCTCTCATTTGCCTTACGGTGACAACGGTGGCCTGGAAGAAATGGTCTGGGATCCTCCTGTGATACTCCTGTCTGTTCCTGAGTTGGCGGTGTGCTTACTAGGCTTTGTGAGGGGCTGGAAATCAGAACATTCACGGAGTTGGACCAGTGGGTACAGTATCTGCAGCTGATATAAGTTGGTCTCTAAGACTTTCTCACTTTGATTTACGTAGATACCTTGGGAACCTGTGTGGTTTTTGAAGAAAACACAGAGCACGGTAATTGTTGTGATTTAATCCTGTTCATTGTGGTAGCTGGGGAGCTTAAAAATACTTATTTCAGTTGATAGTGGAATTCACTATAATGATTGGGGTCTGGGTATTGTTTTTTCTCCTCTCTTCTCAGTAGATGCGGAAGGCAACCAAAAAGTACAGCTGAAATACAAGTGTCACACAGTGAAGAAGTTGAACATGACACGGACCCTTCTGACAGAAAAGAAGGAAGGCGAAGAGAATGTTGGTTAGTGCCTTTATGCATACAGACATGGATGACATATGCTTGGGAACATCAGCCTTTATTAAGTGTTTGATTCAAGAGCATGTAGAAAGTTAAGGGAGCTTTCTTCTTTAGGCAGCAAATATGTATATTTCAATGCAAAAGTACAAAACACACATGGAAAGAGGAGAGAGATACTCCTTCTGACCAGTGCTGCCTCCAGAAACGGCTAGTAGGAGACTCCTACAGAAGAGTTTAAGAGCAGGGCAAACACGTGCTGATGTACCCTGGTGTGTTTTTCTGTCATCTAAAAGTTTTGAAATTGGAGATGTTGTTTAGTAGTTCTTTGTTGATTTTGTTTTTTCCTACTTTCATCAATTTTTCTAATTAATTTTTGAGTCTCTGTGACTGTTGAAAATAGTAGTAAGTTCCATGTTGTATGTACTAGAACCGAATTGTACTTTCTGAATTTACAGTTAAATGCAAATGAGTTTAACTTGCAACAACATACCTAGAAGACCATTCATATTGATTTTCATCGTGTAGGCAGAACTCAGTGCTCATATTTTTGTTTTTTATTTTAGTGGTGCTTTTTTATACAGAAGTTAGTACTTTTACATAGTGAAATATTGAGTATCCTACTATATATGGTAGTATTCATTAGCAGTATCCTATTGCTTTTAATTGCTTTTTTCGCTCAAGTCAGCGTTACTGAGTCATATTTTAAAAATATGTAGCCATTTTACATTAAATCTGAGTAGTCAGTTGGACATTGGTCATAGGAGATATAAAATGAAATGTCATCTACAATCTAACCAAACATCAGCATTCTTATCAGCACCATGTACCATTTCTTCTCTCCATATATTTAACTATTATTAAACAAACTATTATTTTAAAAGTACAATAGACTAGAGAATATTTTGCTTAATAAAAAGGCCTTTTTTGTTCTGGAACAGCAATAATGATGATACTTGCTGAAAAACGTTTTTGTTTCTGTACCCTAACAGAAGTTTAATGTTGTGCATGCAGAGTAACTACCATGTCTTGTGAATTAACAACATGTAATGCATAAAAATTGAAATGGGAGGGGAATCCCAGTTCTATTTAAGGTCTGTTCCAAGAGCTTGATACACCTGAGTTTCGAGGAATGATTCAAATTCTTGCACTAATTCTAATGTCATTCCTTATCACATTGCCAGATGTTCTAAAATTTAGGTGAAGAAACATTCTGTTCTCTTTATTGCATTTGTAAAATGTTTTCTCAGCAATTTGAATTATGTTTCAGTTATTTTAAGAGTCTAAGGGTGGTGTCAGACACTTAAATACAACAGGAACTCCCATACTGGATCAGAACAAATGTGGTTTTATTCCTGTATTGTATTTCTAACTGTGGACAATAGTAAATCATAGAATCATAGAATGGCCTGAGTTCAAAGGCCATGGGCAGGGACCCTTTCCACTACACCAGATTGCTCAGAACCCCATCCAACCTGGCCTTAAATGTTTCCAGGGATGGGGCATCCACAACTGCACTAGGCAACATGGGTGCCTCACCACCCTCACAGTAAAGAATTTCTTCCTAATATCTAATCTAAACCCACTCTCCTTCAGTTTACAGCCATTCCCCCTTGTCCTAGCACTAAATGCCCTTGTAAATAGTCCTTCTCCATATTTATTGTAGGCTCCCTTTAGATACTGGGAGGCCACAAATAGGTCACTTAAGCCTTCTCTTTTCCAGGCTGAACAATCCCAATTCTCTCAGCCTTTCCTTGTATGAGAGGTGCTCCATCCCTCTAATCACCTTGGTGGCCTGCCTCTAGACTCGCCCCAACAGGTCGATGTCCTTCCTGATCTGGTATAAATGGGTGTATAAGAAGTAGTAGGAGGGGACATACACATGAGTAATTTTTTTTTTGCTATCCTTCTGGTATTCAGCAGTTCATCAGTACCCTGACAAAAGTTCTCATTTGGACGACTATGTCTTTAGTCCATAAACGCTCTGTCATTTTTACTTGCTTTTTGAACCTGTTTATACTTTTGACTTCTTCCATTTTTATCACAGTTTTCAAATCACATTTCTGTTTGGAAAAAGTGCAACTTTACTATGGGTGTTCCTGATTGTTTGTCTGCTTTTGTGGTTGTTACAAATATGTGATCTGGTGCTTTCAATGAGTGTGTGTTACTTATTTTGTCATCAGAATTAGGAGATAAGTCAGTCCCTACTTGTTTTCCCAGGCCAGCCTTATAAACAGCTGTCTCCTTTGAGTAGAATTCTAGTCTCTGTCTTCTGTTGCAATTGTTTTATGATTTTTGTAGTTGTTGGTTACTTGGCTTCCCTTTTCCTGTATAGCTAACTTGACTCACCAATTCTTGTTTCCCTTTTCTAGTTTTACAGTGTGGGTTGAGCAGAACACAGCAACATAATATGGACATAGCATAGTTTTGTATCTTGCTGTTCGTGCTTTTCCTTACTTTCATAACAATTTTATCTCCCTCGTGACTGCTCTTTAGAGATGGAGCTGGTGACATAAGGAACCTTGCGCAATGTCTCCAGTATCTGGATAAGAACCTGTAGCTATATGTCTTGGAGAAATTGGTTTAGCCTGTGCATGTGTTGTTAATTTATCAACAGTCAAGTTTCTCTTCATTTTAAGATGGTCTTTCTTTACCAAATATCTTCCTGTTATTTGTAGCCTTGTTTACAAGGAAGATGAGTGGTTTAAGCCCCGCGCAAGGTTTGCAACAAAAATTAGTGTTGGTTCAAATTCTTGAAAGACATCCTTTTGTCCTAAGGAGTTCTTTTACTTAGATGTTGGTCAGCTCAGCCTTAATAACAGTGAACTTAGCTAAGAAAAAACTGCCGTTAACTCTTAACTCCTTTTGTCACTAATACAAGTTTTCCTTCTTTGCATCAGGTGGAGTGGAGTGGTTACAGATCAAGGAAAGAGATTTTTCCTACAGTAGGCCTAATATGATTTGCAGTTTTATGCGTGAAAAGGATGATTCTGAGGAGTCAGGCCAGACCCAAGACAAATTGACTGAAGAGTCAGAGGGAGAGGTGAGTGGTGAAGGAAATTCTGACATGAATTGTGATCTGGAGAAGCAGCACACCTTGGAAATAGATGCTTCTATTCCTCTGCCTGAAAGCCCTGCTTCTGGGACAGAGGAATCTCCTTCTGGAAATACTGCCTTAGAGGATGTCCCTTCGTGATATCAACTCTGATCTTGTCATGATTTTTTCACAGAATTAACAAGCCAACTTTTACAGGCTATGACATGATTTCCACTTTATCTGAGCAATTAATAATGGAAAAACAGACATTGTGTTCTTGTGCATTGCTTTTGTGTTTGAAATATAGTGGGAAGGGCTGAAGTGTTTTTAAAAAACTGATTTGAAATGTATGTATCTCTACCTCAAACTTGAACAAGGGGAAATGGTTACATAATTAAAAGAAACTCATTACTTAGAAAAATGTTGATGTATTGTACAGTCTGGAACATTTTGTAAAAATTAAAAAACATCAATGTTTAAAATAAAGTCTTGAATTTTTCAAATATAGCTTCCCCTTGTGTGTCATATTCAGCTGCATATGTGTCTGCTCTTGTTTGATTTTTTTTCCTTTCAATAACTGCAGTACAAATATGCCTTCTATTGACTGTTTGAATAGCAGATTGCTTAGTTTGGATTTTCTCTAGTGTCCTTTGTCTCCTTGATGGATCTTAGAAATCCTTCATGTGGGAAGAGACTTTAGGAGGTCTCTAATCTAGCTTCTTATATAAAATAGGGTCAACATTGAATTCAGGGCAAGTTGTTCGGGTCTTTGTCCACTCAAGTTTTGAAAACCCCTGCAAACTTGTCAGCAACTGAAACCTAGGTCTTAAAGAGGCATCTGTCACTCTCCTTCCCCCATTTTTTGTATAACACAATGTACAAAATAATACAAAAGGAAATGTGGTCCTCTCCCTTTTTATTTTTCCTCACAGTAACTTCTTGGTTCTAATATTCTCCTCTGGCATTTTTCTAAAGGTTTTTATACTTAAGATCCTGTACCCATGCATCAGTGGTTCCCAAGGTGGTCCATGGAAATGTATTGTGGTGCCTAGCTACTCTGTGGGTTGACACTACATAATGCTACATAATTTATATTGCTACCCACCATTTTATATCACAGTTGAGTGTGTGGTGCACTCAGAATAATGTTTTTAAAAGCACATTTTTTTAAACAGAAAACATTTTCTTCCTGACCTTTCTACCTTCCTGCCTTTGTTTGCTTCCCTCAAAACAGTGTAACTGCAATAGTGAGGATGGGAACACCTAAATAATTCCAGAATAATTATGGAATAGTTTAATTAGTAATGATCAGAGAAGTTCACTCCCAGTGTTCACAGCACAGGATCGGTAAAGACAAGTCATCAAAAACACAGCAGTTGCAAACCATCAATCCCACTATTCTGCTTTTGCTATGTAGAAGCAACTTGAATCAAAGGGGAAAGGGAGGCAGGGAGAGGAAGGTGAAGAAGAAGAGGGACCATGTTCTGTATGCCTCCAGCCTGGGTATGGATCTTTTACATGGTAGTGTCTGCGCTTGAGGTTTCAGGGAGACTGCTCAGTTGTCTCTCTGGCTTTAACTGCAACCATGGAAGTTTAAAAGCATCCTTCAGACTTGATTTGTGTGGTGCTGATAGAGGATAATTATAACTGGAATAACGATCTTGGGAATGTTATGAACTGGTGAAACACGTGCTCCTGTCTGCTGGGGGGAGCTATGAACTGGTGAAACACGTGCTCCTGTCTGCTGGGGGGAGCATTTGCGGAGCTGGGCTGCACTTGCTGACAGCTGAGTCTCCTGCAGAGGAGGCTGGGTGGGTGGTAGGTTCAGCACGCTTGCCATGGCCCCTTGAGAACAGAGAGGTGCTTCCAAGAGTTTGTTCTCTGTCACAATGCAACTCTATCTCATGTTTTCTTAACCAATTGCCAAGTCTGTCACTACGTATGCGTGAGCTTTTTTCCTTATGTACAAGGAATATTCTAGCAGAATTGGTTTCTGGCCTTTTTACCAATTTTGTAGAAAAAAAGGCCCTGCAAGTTGTTTATTTGAAATGCAGTTAAAAATTGGTGGGCATGGGGGACAGAATCACAAAATATGCTGAGTTGCAAGGGACCCACGTGGATCATCCAAGTCCAACTCCCAGCTCCACACAGGACCATTCCCAAGAGTCACACCATGTGTCTGAGAGTATCATCCAAATGCTTCTTGAACTCCGTCAGACTTGATGCTCTGACCATTTCCCTGGGGAGCCTGTTCCAGTACCCAACCACCCTCTGGGTGAAGAACCTTTCCCTAATACCCAACCGAAACCTCCCCGACACAGCTCCAGGCCATTCCCTTGGGTCCTGTCACTGGTCACCACAGAGTGCCTGCCCCTCCTCTTCCCCTCGTGAGGAACCTCCAGTGAGGTCTCCCCTCAGTCTCCTCCAGGCTGAACAGACCAAGTGACCTCAGCCGCTCCCCGTATGACTCCCGCTCCAAGCCCTTCTCCATGTGGGACGAGTGACCCCGTGGACTCGGCCGGACGCCGGCTCCCCGCAGCCCTGCCCCGCGCACGCGCATTGCCCGGCCCGGCGCGCTCCCTCCCGCCCGCTCCCGGCGGACGTGACGCGACGGACGGCGGTGCCCGCGCGTCCTTCCGCACGTGAGGCGGCGGCGATGGATCCGCTGGACCGCGTCGTGTGAGTGTGCCAGGGGTCTCCTCCCGGTCTGGGCGGCCTCCGAGCTTTGCTGCCTCCCCGGGCTCTGGGAAACGAGAGCAGGCGGCTGCGGGGCTGTGGGGAGGGTCGCGGAGGGGAAGTCGGCAGAGAGAAAAGCCCTCTGCAAAACATGCGGGAAGGAGGAAAACGGAGCGCTGCCGTCTTTTTAGTGATGGCCAGTCAGCCCTTAGTTGGTGGCTTGAAGGAGTCGCGGTGCCCAGCTGGTTTTGAATTTGTGTGTTTCTGTATACCTGAGAGAACTGTCTTCGTCTCTGCTGGAAGTTTCATTGGTGCCAGCGACAGGACGAGGAGCAATGGCCATAAAGTAAAACACAGGGAGTTTCACCTCAACATGAGGAAGAACTTCTTTAGATTGATTGTGGCAGAGCACTGGAACAGGCTGCCCAGGGAGATCATGGAATCTCTCTCTCTCTGGAGACATCCAAAACCCACCTGGATGCGTTTCTGTTTTACCTTCTCCAGGTGACCCTGCCTTGACAGGAAGGTTGGATTAGATGATCTCCAGAGGTCCCTTCCAACCCTAATTTTTTCTGTGGTGCTGTGATACCTGTGTGTTTGGGGGTTTTGTTTGTTTTGAAAAAGAAATTAAAAATAATGTTTAACGGAGAAGATAACCTGGTGGAGAAATGTATTTCTGAAGCCATGTAGTTACGGATTTATATAAGCTGTGTGCCCCTGCGAAGGCTGATGTATTTCACTTGACTAATGCCCTGCTCTCTGGTTCCTGCCAGCAGATGTGCCATACTCTTCCCAGAAGCAAGTCTCTGGCTTGGGGAGGGAGCTGGTGTGAGGAGAAGCTTTCAGCCTGTCAGTAGGCTGGGAATCCTGGTATATCTTAACCTCTAAATTAGGAGAAACTGAAAAGTACAAGACTGTAAAATCAGCTTTTGTACCTGGGGGGAACAGAGAGGAAGAGGAGTGGCAGTAAAACACATTCATCTGAGACTGAGCTTTTGGCATTGATTGTATTTCTGCTGGTTGGGATTAGTTGGAGTCATTGAAACAAGTTACTTGAACACAGCTTGTTCCAATTCTAGTTTGGTTTCATTGTTTTCTGTGGTGTCAGGTGTTGTTACTAATATTAAGTTATTAACTATTAATTTATTGTTACAGGAAGCCTAAAACTAAGAGAGCAAAAAGATTTCTTGAGAAGAGAGAACCCAAGCTTAACGAAAATACAAAAAATGCTATGCTCATAAGAGGGGGAAATGCAAACTTAACAGTGACTGCAGTGCTTAAAGATATTGTAAGTTGTTGGACATAGTGTGCAGCCTTCCTTTCTCTTTCTTACAATTTGCATATTCTCTGCTGGACTGTCAGTATTTTCATACTCTCCCTGTACCCCAAATCTCAGATTGACCAGTACTCCAAAGGTGTCATTACCTGCTTATTGATGGAGATTATTTTCTTCCAATTTCTTCTTTGCCAGAAATTTTGAGCTTGCTCTCTTATTTTTTCCGCAATTGTCCAGTATATAAAGTGAAGTTCTGCCAAGTCCCTTTGAAAACAAGAGGATTAGGTACAGAACTGGGACTGTATCACACAGCTAAGTCATATCCCAGAATCCTGTAAACTGCTTGTATGTATTGATATGGAGCTTTCAGCCTCTCCTAAAACTTTAAGTTACCAATTCTGTCTCCTAAGTCCATAGCTGAAAAACATAGCTGTTCCTACACTCTTTTCTTATATTGCTTTGTTGTTTTCTTACCATCTTATGCTGCTGTTTGTCCTCATATCCCTAGAAGCAGAGGGATTACTTTACCTGACTTTAATTTCAGCTGCTTCTCAATTTCTACAAATAACTCCTTCAATTAATTTGAAACCAAGATTGTTACCAACATGAAGGGTGTTACTATCAGCAGGCTTTTTGAGGTGCCTTCTTCTAGACTGATCTGCACAAACAGTTACTGTTTCATATGATCATGTAAGTTGTAGGGTTATAGCAAAAACAGTGCTGGGCATGTTTTAGAGATGACACGTGTTTAACTTTTTGTTTTGCAGTATGCTGTGAAGAAGCCTTTTGCTGTCCTGTATAAAAAGTAAGTGATCTCACTTTGATGTCTTTGAGTTCTCTGACAGACAGACAGCTTTTGGTAATTTCAGACCATGAATAAAGATGCTGGCCAGCATGGGGGCTTGAACAATGACAAGGGTCACCTGAGATGGCTGAGATTGATCATAATTTTGAATAGACTGGAAACAAGCTACACATGATCAGCATTGATGCTGAGCCCTGTTCTGTGGCAGGTGGTATGGAGCAGGATTCAGCTGTAAGTCTTGCTCAAAATGGGAACCCAATATCTTTATGGCTAAATTTAATGTTGAATGAACAGGCAAATGCAACTGTTCATGGAGTGTCACTGGTGGTGATGGTGGTCTGGAAGTCTATTAATATGACTTGTGGTTTGAACTCTAACTGAGCCTCTGCTCCTGGAGTTTCAGTAGAATGCAGAATTTTATTATTATTGGAGAACTAAGTAAAAGTGGCTATCTGAGCCTGTTGTCTTTTTTTTTCTTCTAACTTTTCTTTTTCCTCTCCTCTCAGGAAAAATATTACCAGGCCTTTTGAGGATCAAACATCATTGGTAAGTATAAACAATGTTTTCTCTTACAACATTTTTGAGCAGGCTCATGTGCCAAAAGATGAACCATCAGGGAAGAAGACTAGCCTGGCTGAACAGAGAGCTTTGGCTGGAACTCAGGGATAAAAAGAGACTGTATCACCTTTGGAAGAAGAGGCAGACAACTCAGGAGTATTCCAAGGATGTTGTGAGGGTATGCAGGGAGAA